GGAAGGTTGCAAATGGTGATCATGTGACCCCAGGATGCTGCAACTGTTGTAAATACATGCTGGTTGCCAAGTGCCCAAATTTTGATCACATGACCATGGAGACGCTGTGACGGTGGTAAATGCAAGGAGCGGTCATAAGTCACTTTTTTCAGCACCGTCGTAACTTTGGACGGTTGTTAAATGAATGGTCATAAGTCAAGGACTACCTGTATAAAAGTGTTGTGATATTATTATCCTATTAGTGGTAATGTGTGGAAGCTTTAGGGATACCTAGAAAGTTGTAATAATACAACATGACAAGCTATTGAACCAAGAGAAGGCTGAGAAAAGATTAATTGGTTGCAATGAAAGGAATGGGTAAGGAAAGAGCTTGAGTAGGACACGGGAGGCAAGTCATTTTTTTTCAGTTTATTCTACCTCCCAAGTTTTCTATGAGTAAAAAATAAAAAGTTCTCTTGAAGGATTAAAGCTGATGGAGAATAACTGATCTTCTGCACAGTCAAACATTAAATACATAGAATGTATGCAGGATTAGACTTTCCCCCCAATGGTAGCCATCACATGCATTTTTCTGGCTGTTATAGCTACTTGGCTGCCAGCTGCAGAACAGTACAAATGCCACATCCTGATACATAAGGGTGTCCTAAGCCTAAGAGCATTGGGAGATGTTTCACTGAGTCCTTCTGGTTATTTTGTGGTGCTGCATATACAGCAGGAAAGCAGATTGTCTTGTATTGAGGACCTGTCTGCTTCAGAGACCCCATTCATAGGTCCTATGCTCTATGGCACAGGAAGATTCTGAGTATTTACTTTGAAGCAAGGTATTAATTGGCAAGATGAGCTATCCTGGTGCAACAAAAGAAAAAAAAAGTTCCCTTACTGTAGGTGGTATGGCATCTTGCATCAGTCTTGCACCTGTGTCTTTGTGAAGCAGTTTTCCATCTAAAGTATCTGTACTTTTAATGGCAAGCAGATGTGTAAGAAGTAGCAAATGGGATTAAGCACAGAGAACATGAGTATATTCACCTGCTTAATCTTGTAGTAACTATATTTGAAGTTAATGGTACACAGGAACTGGGCAATTTACTCCTGCTTCTAGCTACTAGGAAGCTGCTGTTGGTGCTATGATGCTTAGTGTGCAAGAATTCCAAGTGTCCATGTTATGTTTCATATAGTCCCATTTGGGCTATCATTTAGACATCTAGCATACTCACAACAAGCACATCTTGAATACTTCTCTCACAAACCCAATATAACTTTGCCTTATCAGAGCCCTGGTTCATGGGCAAGCCTTTCTTTCCGCAGAGAGTCATGCTGAATGTGCAAATATCTCCAGGAGACTGATGTCCCACAAGAGATATTGGAGAGGAGGGGAGCAGGCTTCTCTGAAGTGCAGACATGGTGAGCACTCTGAATTTTAGAATGTCTGAATAAGGCAAGTGGAAACCTGCCATCCCCTACATGTGTTGAACCACAGCTTGCTAAATGCTACCAGAACTGGTTGGGTTCAAGGCCCTGTAGTTAAAAAAAAAACTGGAGGGCACCAAGTTGGGGAAGGCCAGTGTAGTGAGCATTAGCACTCCAGATTTGTTCTATTTTTGCTACTACTTTTCTTCTGACTATATATGCTTGGTAATTTTTAAAATCTTTTATCCAATCTTGCACTTGCAAATAAATATTGCAGCTTAATTTTCATTGATGTAGTTCTAATTTGCAGAGGATTACCAGTTGGACTCTAATTGATCTTGATTCCCAAATAGTCTTCATGCTTTGGTAATTATTAAGCATGAGTTGACCCAAGATTTATGTATTAGCCTTGTTAATCTGTAAAGAGAATATTTCTTGGACAATTCCCGTGGGATTTGGTGACATTTAGCTGGTTTATTACAGCAAAAGTGGGGGAGAAAAGCATCTATTTGTCTTCCTTCCCACTGACATCACAAACAGTACACTTATATGCAGGAAATGGGAATAAATGGATTGTATCACACTATGAGGCTTTCAGCTCTGAATAATATTATCTAATGACTTTGCAAGTTAGGTATGCTAAATGCTTAAACAGGTCTGCACAAGTTTGGGACTTACCAACATGCAGATAACCTTGAGTGTGGCCTGCCTTACCAATCTTCATCCAATAGTTTTACCTCTTCAGTATAATAGCAAAAGTGAGAAATTTGTATATGTGACCAGGGTCATCTGGGGGTGGGGGGTGGGGGGTGGTGTCAAAATGGCGAGTTGGCAGCCCTACCAATACTCCAAAGTTGCTGGCAGTGAAAAAGGGATGTGGGGACGGGATCCACAATCATTAGCAGAATCTAATGTTAGAAAAGAATTAGAGGTTAGAACCTTGTTGGAAAACAATTAATCCTTACAGTAGTATTTCATAGATACTTTGATTTCTGATTCTTTTAAAAATAGGCTTTTGGTTTCCAACCAGCTCGCAGTTTAGTACTGGTCATCCCTTCATAAGGAAGTGCTTCTTGGAGTCTATCATTTGCACTTTGCTGCTACATGTGGGAATTCGGGGTGGAGGAGAAATATTATTTGATGGAGGCCCCCAAGCCGCTTCAGTAGCCACACAGTGATCCTTTGGCATTCTTGTATTTAATTTTTGTTAAAACCTACAAGTAGATTTTTGATTATCAAGTAGAGGAGAGGAACAAAACTCTAACCCAGTGCTTCTCAACTTCAGCAACTTTAAGAAGTGTGGGCCTCAACTCCCAGAATTCTCCTGGCTGGGGAATTCTGGGAGTTGAAGTCCACATATCTTAAAGTTGCTGAGGTTGAGAAACACTGCTGTAACCCATCTAAGCTATCCTCTCTGTTCTCTTGCTACGCCAGGATACTTTCAAGTGTTTCTCTCTAACCTGGCTCCTATCTAGTACCCTAACAGGACAATGAATACTTAACATGGATAGCACCCTCTCTTGTATTGTAATAAATACTAAAAGAGATCAGTTAAACACTTACCAACTTATAACAAAATGGGAATGGACATGCATATGTTAAGTAGGTATGTATCTGGATTGGCTCAAGCCTCCAATGTGAATCCCTTGAATGAAGCAGCTTTTTTTTTTGACAAGGCTCTTCCTTGCATTCCAGGCTTTCCCCTTTAAGCAGATATCTCCAGGGCTTCCTTAATATAAAGGCAGCAGTTGTTAGCGGTGAAGATATTCCTCTTTTTATTTTCTGTGGTTGAAAATGGATTCTGGATCTCTGCCAGCATCAGAAACCTTGATGAAGATTTGAATTAGCTTGAGTATTTGTGGCTTGAAAAGAAACATTTGATCCAAATGTGGCAATGAGTTGGGTCCTTGAATGGGAGCAAAATCCATTTCCTGAAATTTTCCAGGGGAGAGCAAGCTATGACACTATCGCTACTATTCCCTAATCCTGTATATGAATAATACACTAATTTTTTG